AATCCCACATTTTTTAAGGCTTAAGAATGTATGCAGCAAAAAGAATTTCCTGAGAATATGACTTAAGAATGAGTGCCATACTTAGCGAACCTATGGTAAGAACGGTTAAAACCGGCCAAAGAGCAGCTAAGTATGCTTTAGGCAAAGAATGAATAAGTTGGCCTAAGAATGTATAAGAACACCCCAAAGAACGAAAAGAATACATAAGACTGCTGGCCCTAAAGAATGCTAAAGAATGGTAAAGAGTGGTTTTATTTCTTAAGAATGAGACTTAAGAACGAGTGCCATACTTAGCAACCCTATGATAAGAATGGTTAAAACCGGCCAAAGAGCAGCTAAGTATGCTTTAACACTAAGTTGGTCTAAGAACGAATAAGAACACCCCAAAGAATGGAAGAGAATACCTAAGACTGCTGGGCCCCAAAGAATGCTAAAGAATTTCAAAGAATGGTTTTAAGATAAACGGATGCCTTACGAACGTTCTTAGAACGTTCTTAGAACGGTGTAAGAACGTTCTAATGGTTATTCAATTTTATCAATTTGGCTGGGCTAAGAACGAGTTAAGAACGTTCTTAACCCCCCTCCGTGTTTGTAGGGTCGGCCCTGCTGTAATAAGCTACTGCTTGGCCCCGACATTGCGGACCAGGAACAGCAAGCAGGTGCTTTCAGGGGGAGCAATGTGCTTCTAAATACCACCCCCCACCATCAAGCGCCAAAGGAGTATTTTGCCGTGCACTCGTCCGTGGCCCATCCCTGATGTTTTCATACCTTTCTCGGCCTTTTGGCTCAGATCATGTGTAGTATCTGTTCTTATTAGCTTAATCGCTAATATGGTCCTCATTGAGGACCTGCGATTAACTTGAATATTTCTCGGGGGCTTGTCAATGGTGCGCTTGCGCATCCGACTTGCCAGCATGGTTGCGGCCTTACACTACCGCTGCAGCCGTGCACCCGCCCATACGAAAATGCACAACTGGGCTGGAGGGTGCCGTGCGCTGCTGAGCTGTGCTGTGCTGATCGCTGTGCTGTGCTGATCGCTGTGCTGTGCTATGCCCATCCATCTGCATGCTTGTAAACCCAGCTGTAAGCTCGTCCAACGTGTGCAGTACCTGACGTGCTCGTGGTAACCATTCCATCAGTCACCGCCCCGCGCCGCGTGGGAACGACTTCAATCAGGCATCGTACATTACTCGCACGACACCGTACGTACAGCAAAAGGAGGACCGAGCGGATTTGTGCACATGGCCTAGGTAATAGGGTGTGGCGGCCGCTTGATCATGACGCCGGTCGTTATTGGCATATGTAGAGGTAGGTACCCCGGTAGGTAAGTAGGTAGAGGGCCGATGTGATTGTGGATAGGGAGGCTGCAGGAAGGCAGGAAAGCAGCAGGAAGAGAGGCTTGTGATGGCTGCACACCGCCCTGTGAAACCCCCTGATACNCCATGCACGCCTCGCTGTGCTGTGTTTTCCTGTCCGGGTACAGATGCCCTTCCTTGGCCCGTACGTGTTCGATGTGGATGCTGTGGATTCCAACCCCTGCGCATGGCATGGCCGCGGCGGCCTCACGGTTGGCTAGCGCCAAGTGTCCATTACAGGGCACACGTTGCTTTTACAATGCCAAGCCTTTATTACAGCCAAATCTTTGTTTTCTTGAGTAGTTGCCTTACCGCTTAGGGGTCGTTCAGACGGAGGGGTACCTGCAGGCAGGAAAGTTAGTGCTTGCTTCCGTGGGAGGGGGCGAGCCTGGTTACCGAGCGACTCTGCTTCTGAAGCCTGTAGATTAGGCAGAAGCTGCAGCGGAAACCTGTCAGTATGAACTCGCTATGAACTCGCGAACTTGCTCTTTCCGTCGCACTCCTGCGACTTATTCTAGCCCTGTACGGTCCAGCCGTACACACCCAGGACATTCAACCGAGTACACGCTCGGCAAATACACAGAAAACTTTTGTTTTCTTTCGTTTCGCTCATAAAGCCTACAGTTACAGGCGCGATATCTGACGCGCAGCTCCACCTCCGCATGCCTGTTTTTTTCAAGGTCTGTGGTGTCAGCTTCACCCGGCTGCCTTGACTGCTGCTGCAGCAGGCGGGCAGGGACATGGATGGGTCCCTACTGACTGGACTCCGCTACACCGCTCTGACGGATTGAAGCAGCGGCCGAATCACCAGCTCTGTGGGGGATCCTCA